ATGCCATGTTTTGGTCTTGCCGCTCCTAGCTTTCTTTCAACCTACTCCTATACCATTGAACATCGCACGTCGAGGCAGTCGGTGGTCGGACACACGTAACACGTGTCCCAGCCATCTCAACTGATGAAGTTTCATTACTTCATCAATTGATTTGCCATCCTTACCTAGTACCCGTTTCCTAACAACTGAGTTACTTACTCGATGGTCCCAGGATATACGAGCAATGTTTCGATGACACCTATGATCGAACACTAGTAACCTATGAATATCCTCTGTCTTACTGGTCATGTTTCACTGCCATGAAGTAGGACGGAACGAACTGCTGAGCAGTAAACACGTCCTTTGGTTGATAGACGGATATCTCGCCTACGCCATAAATGACGCAAGTTGGCAAAAGCTAGTCGAGTCTTCTGTATCCGTGCTGAGATTTCGTCACACACCAGACCACAAGAGCTGATGAGACTTCCAAGATAAGTGAAGCGGTCGACACGCTCAACTACATCACTCCCTATCATTAGTTTAAGTGTCGATGCAACCCAATCCTGAAGTAACATTTTGCATTTCGAGGGAGAGAATCGCATGCCGAACATGCTTGCATTGTTGCTTATAGTGGTCAGAAGACTGTATTTCGTCAGTGTCTTCACCAAATAGAACTATGCCATCGGTATATTGTAGGTCAAAAAGTGAACCTCCTAGTAGAAGTTCAACCCCTGGAAATTTAGATGAGTAGAGTGTTATCTGTAAAAGCACGTCAACGACAAAGTTAAACAAGAATAGATAGAGTGGACAGCCCTGACGAACACCACTTGAGGTAATCAATTCTGATGACAGTTCGCCATAAATTCTCACTCGTCCAGTTGTGTTCGAGTAGAGAGCCTTTACAAGGTTAATGTACTTCCTTAGTACTCCTTTCAGTGACAAACACTGCCATAGAACCTCACGATCAACAGAGCCAAATGCCTCCTTAAGGTCGAGAAATACTACGATTGTGGGGCGTCCGAATGTGTGTCTGTGTTCTAGAACCTGACGTAGTGTGAATATCTTGTCTATACAATCACGTCCAGGTCGCAAACCAATCTGATTTCCTCTAGTTTGCTCTTCATGAGTTTTAGTTAGGCGTCGAAGTATTATTGAAGCTAATATTTTAGACACTATATTAGTCAAACTGATTTATCTGTGATTGTCACAAGAGGACTTTTGTCCTTTCTTATAGACTGGCGCAATCAGTGATTGAGACCAGTCAGATGGGATTACGTCCAGTTCCCAAATTCTACCTAAGACCTCAGTTAATCTCACTGCTTATACTGGACCACGATCCTTAAAAATCTCAGAAGTGAACCTGTCAGGGCCTGCTGCTCTCCGCTTCAGATTTCCTATGGCTTTTTCAACTTCGTAAAGAGACGGAGGACCTACATTACCTTGCCATTCAGGTTGACTAGAGATCGTGGGAAACCGAAGTGTGGCTGAAGGCCAGTTGAACTGATCCCTAAAGTGTTCTGCCCGTCGATCCAATCTCCTGGATTGAGAATGCTATACCTAACAGCTACGGTCGGGACTTCCACGAAATAAATATGACTAATATCATTTATTACTGGACTGTATTTAATAATCTTACTAAAATTGATCAATAATTCTATTATATTGTGTATGAGATTGTCAGATGAGGTGAATGATGAAATGAGTAGAAGAAACTATCAGTCACTACAATATCGAAATAAGAAGTGAGTAGAATTTCACCACTACAAATAATCATAAATCTACTGTCGGTTATCTACAATTAGCATCTTTCACCAGTTTACTGTCCGTATTATGGTGTTGTTTTATCCTTTTCCAAGTTATCGCGTCTAACTATTATTGAGGATTAAAGTGGTTTCTTTCTACATTCAGTAGGACTATCGATCAGTAGATCGTGTAAAGGCGTAATTTAATAACCTAGGCACTTAACTTTCAGTTGTTAAGCTGTATGCTCGGACTCTACCCTACTTATCTTTGTTTTGATAGCTACAAGTGTCAATAGTCCCCACAGAAAACGTGTAACCGAAAGCTAAATATATCAATCCAATTACTGAGTTGTTTTTGAAACATTAAGTGTTTTGGTCTGTTTACGGAAGTGGTGATATCCTGCATGTTGCTTGCGTCCGTGTGCCAATATTTCTAGTCTTTTTAATATTGTTTTTCACTGTTGTCAATTTTATGGTTTGTTCACAGATATACACTGGCCTGTTGCTACTACATGTGGATCATCTTTTAACATAAATGAATCACCACAAAAAAACTGTGAACTTTCACAAGCAGCTGTAAACTTAATTAGTGGCCTCTTATCCTATAATCAAACAGACAGACTTCAAGTTGCAAATCAAATAAAGTCAAGTGATTTGTTAATACCTGTTGGTGATTGGAATAATTTACATGATTTAGAAATGCCTTTCATTCCTGATCCTGATAATTCAACAGATACATTTTATTTTGATGTAAGTAAACTAACTATTTGTAATGTTTTATTGTAAGCTATACATTTACGTAAAATGTCTTTGTGACTGCGTAATTTAGCTGAATGTGCGTTATTGTATTATCTGAACATGAGCTTAAGCCTGATAACAGACATCTTAGTCAAATGCTTAATAGTTTTCTTAAATCATTTGTTAAAATACACCAACTCACTCAGGAATATTAAGATTTACCGGATAAGCAAAGCGATAAGTACATTCAACCACTTTACTTCTTGTCATTAGTTTAAGCGTCGACGCCAACCAGTCGCGGAGCAGAATTCATTTAGAGGGCAAAAAACATGTCCCAAACATACTAGCCTTGTTGCTTAAAACGTTTTAGAAGACTTTGCCATACAATTAGTTTACTATTTGGATATTCTAAACCAACAAGTGAAACACGTAAGTATACAGAAAAACTCGGTTGAAATTTTCCGTCAGATTCTGTGCTTCCTCCTAAGATTTTAGTACAATAATGATTTGATGTATGGGACATCATTTCTAGTCTAGTGTTCAGCTACTTATTCGCCGGCTCATCAATGTTGAAGTTTGTATAATATTACTAGTTATTTTTGTACTACATAACTGTTACTTATATGAAACTTTATGAAATCTATTATGCATTATAGTTCATTCCTTTGCGCCGCCTTTATAAAGACAGAACTAAATTAACGTACTTTCATCCTTACAGACGTAGTGCATAACCTAAAGTATTTAATGCATGTATTTGATTACTTAAGTTTATTGTACCCATAACAAAATCCCCTATTGTAATAATGTAACGGTCGTTTTCGTGAGTGAATTATTAAAATGTTTATTCATTCACCCTCATTTAGATTCGTAATCGGTACAATCAATATAGCGAAGAGGATCTATGTGCAAATGTGAAATGACGAAGTCTATGACTTAATTAATTACTTTTCGCTGTACAGGTAATATTATTGATACACATATTTGTACTTGTGAATAAATGTTTATTTATCAACTTCTTTAACATGCGAAATTTTTCCGACTCCATATCTTAAAAAATCGTTTTTAATTATGTCATATGTATAACAGTAAGTTAGCGTAGCTCATGTAATGCTTTAATTTATAATTGTATTACAAATTGAGTGTCTATTAAAAATAAATTATTTCTTTTGCTTTTATTTTTTATAGATGAGTAGGTGTAGCAGATAGTGTCATTTAAAACTGCTTTTTAAGTATGAAGCACGTATTTTAGAGTGGGTTTCATAAGCTTAAAATAACTACACTTGCGTTCTCATTGCCTTATTTTCTGTTTCTGTAAACATTTGAATCTAACCCTTGATGAATATACACCTTCATTAAGTTTATTTGTCCATTGAATATTGACTTAGTTCCTTCCTGTTTTAAGTGGTTCGCTATTGTGCTCCTCTTTACTTCCATTAGTTGTTTGGAATACGCTGTTCTACTAACGTTTGTAATCGGCTCTTAATTTTACTCTACCTGACACAAAATAAATCAATTGAATTTAATTCTCTGGGAATTGCGGGATAACATAGAACGACGGTATCTGGATTCAGGTCGAAATTAGGACTTACCTTAACAGTGTTCAACCTCTTACAACCACGCTTATGTTTATATTGGCTAGATCAACTAATCTCATGTTTACAGTGAGATTAATCTCATCCATCTCTTGAAATTCTTATCTTTACGCTTGCTTACGAGAGCTTTTATGGTTATATCTCTACGTTTAGTAAGGGACAGGAAGACGCGATGGGACGTGTTTGGTATCTAACGATGATTGTTAACGATGTATTCTTACGTTAACATGCATAATTGAAGAATAAATAACTGCGTCTGAGCACCCAATTGTTGGAGGTTATAATGCTTTCAATAGACTATCTTCCGCTTCACTTGGTTTGTTGCCTTCCCAGTAGTTGCTATGACACAAGTTCCTATATTGTCACTTAGGGTTAGTAAGTTTTTACATACTCAATGTCATCAGATCGATCTTCAAGTGACAAATATCTACACACTTCCCTCAAAGGTACTTATAGAATGTCATCAGTAGGATATAAAAGTATATTCTGTAAATTGACCTAACTACACTGTTATTTTGGTACATTGTAGAAAAATCACAGTATATCCCCCTATTCTATCTGGATTATCTTTACTTAATGGTTTAGAAACGGTGACGGTTTTCATGGCCTCTTATCTGCCAAAAACACTTGATACAATCGAGTTTTATGTACAACAGATCTTTTATGGTTAGTGCGGTTACCTGAGGTAATCTGCTTTTTTAAGTTGCTGTTTTTTAAAAAACAGTTCATCTACACTTCGTTCCAGTTGAGATTGGTATCTCAACAACATCGTTAACTGTAAAGGCTCCATTTTATTTCGGAATAGTGGCTTCATGATTGTACATCCTTACCTCCCGGTTAAATATTCTCACACTTCATTTCCTTACCTGTGAAAATGTATCGTCCAATAATATAGAAGGCTAAATCACTGGTTAGTACCGCTATTAGTTTGATATAAAAAGTCAGTAATTTCTGGATGAGTTGCATTTTTCCAATAACAACTTCACAGACTAGTTGTTTTTTCAAGAATTAATCAAAGATATTTTGCTATTGAAAATAGTTTAACATCTGTCAAAACAGTGCAGTTATGTTTCATACAATTCCTCCCTTTTACGGGTCTTATTAAAGAATAAATAAATGTCGTAGCAGAATTGTGGCTTCTTTTTATACAGGAATTATTTTTACATAAATTATTCACAAATGCTAATTAGAAAATATCCTTGTGAATATGTTGAGAAAATTCCTACATCACTGTATATATCTAGATAGGTAATTATATATATTCAACAGATTCTTCATCTAAAAACGGTGGATTTAAAAACTCCAATTCTATTAGATCATTTGTAGGCTGAGAAAATATTTTGTAGTTATTATGAACATTTTCATAGTCGATAATTAGTTGTTCAATTAGTTGATTGAACGCTTGTGACATAACGTCACGAAATAATGCAGCTTGTTCTTTTAATTTTTGTTCTAATGTGCTGATTTTCGAATCTTTTTCTGCCTTACAATTTAGGAATTCTTGACGTAAATTTTTCAGTTCATTATTTCTTATCTCAATTAGCTTATTGGCCTCATCTAGTTTTGTGGTTAATTTTTCTATTTCATCTCGAAGATTGGTTACTTTTATTTCGTTTTCTGTGATTAGGAAAGCAGTATGGTTTTGTGTTGACTTTTTCAATTCATTATAATTTCTTAGAGACTCCAATTTCTCAGTATATGCTTGATAGCGACGATTTTCTGCATTTTCTGCAATAAATATTTTCCTGCTTACTTCTTCCCGCAAGTTTTTTACGTCTTCCTGTGTTTTTTCTAATACCTCATTCACAGGGTCCTTTGCTTTAGTTTTCTTTCCTTTAGTTTTACGTTTACCACTAACAGATTTTGACATTATTCAGAGCTATTTTTAGTTCAAAACAAATTGTTTTCTGAAGAAATCCTACAATAAACATGTAAATTTTAATAAAAGAAGTTAAGAACTAGGAGATTTATGGTTTACTTTATATGTCTACTTTGTAACAAACATTACAGTTCTCAGACTTAATAAAAATCAATGTATATATTGTATATATTATTCCGGGTTTTAGCAATCAACATTTTCCATACTATACGAGGTCAAAATTGCATTTCTTTCTACATTACATTACATTTCTTACTAATTAGCATATAATCTAGTGATTGATACGAATAAACTTCTTGTTTAGAGCCTAGTACTAACACTACATTATGTTATCATATGGCACCCACACAAATTTCAGCTTGGTTGCGTTTAAACTTTACGGCAGTTGGTATTTTCATATCGCATCAGTATTTTGTGTAAATATAAGCTAATTATCATTGGTAAGCTAGTAAAGTTTGCTCGTGTATGGCTTTCTATGCAGTTTTTCTTCACTGCAGTACGTTTCCCTCGTTGTACATGGTGGAATTAGTATCGATTTACCAACCGAATCAAGAAAATTAGAGTAATAGCATTATCATTCTATAGAATAATTCTGATGTTGTAATCTCGAATTAGTTCATTCGATAACTACTCTCACTCTCTGTACATTAAGACGAGCACCATTTTTGATAATTACGTGCAACATTTGCGAAAATACTCGTCTGTTCAGATGTGAATAAAAGGAGTGAGAGTCGAAGCAGTCTCATCATTGACCATTAACTTGTCGAAATTAACTTCAAAAAGAGCTCATCCGCATCCTAACTCTTTACGCGTCCTAACACTAACAGTCAGTGTTTTGAAGAGCCGACCTTAATAACCTGCACTTTTATATCAATATTTTGCAGATGACTAATATTCTCTCTGTGGAAGTTTGCAGATAATAGGCGGTTGTTTGATTTAGACCTGTTACAAAATAACAGCTATGCGGCTTTAAACGTCGATTCTCGAATGAGATCTCATATTAAACTGTATTTATCGCCCACACATAGTTGAGGATTACAAAGTCTAGTGTGATTAATAATATTCCATTCAGTTGTCGAAAATAAGGTTGTGGTAGTTTAGTAAATCACCTCAATACGATGTTTTAATAGAACAGATGATGACAAGTTCAAAGTATTTTGTGAAAATATTTGCATCAATTGAACAGGTTTTCATTATCATGCTATCAATATTCTAATTGACTTTAATAGTTTGAGTCGATGTGGCCACTTTAAGGAACGAATTTTACTGATCTCGTTAGAGAGTCAATATAGTAACTGGTTATAGCTTTGAAAACCTTACAAATATTCGGCGAAGATTGTATCAGAGACTGAAAGACTTATCTATGAAACATAATAACACCAACCACTGGTTAGGAGGGATATGTAGAAATCAAGTAAGAACAGCTGCAAATGATGACCGACTGTCCGTTGTTATACCAAACAGATGCAGTGGCCCATTCTACTATATAGAAAGTAGATTTAAGGGCAGTCAGTCATTCGTCCTCAGATGAAAACTGTAAATTTGACTTGGAAGCATTAAGTCACTTCCAGAGGTTTTACAACCATGTGACTCGGCTATTTATACCTCGAATAGTTTTATAGAAGAAAAACACTGGTGGTTCATGGATAAACCGATAGATTCTGTCGACACAAACCAGTTACATATTTCAAGAAGTGCAGTATCTTCAAGAGTCAACATCAACTGGACATTACTTATCACAATACAATACACAAATTACCTTGACCATTTATAGATGCTACTTTCATCTACTGATTATCGGGGGTCAAATGCGTAGGCCTATCGGCAAGGCATTCATGACTGACCTGATCACGAGAGCAGGCGTAGGATGTACCTCAAGGTGAAGTATATTTTTATATCCACTCACTGGGACCATCGGGTTCGCGTTGCAAGAGATACCCTTCATGAAACGATATTACCGACAAGCGAGACATTTTACCGAATGTTGGTAGTCCCCTTAATCAAAGGCCCAAGTATTTATCGTCATGAAGGGTAACGAATTTCGTGTCACATGTTTACTCTGATGTCTATTTAATCAGGTTCTTGAGCACTAGATAGTGAGGTGTTTCTTCTGATCAAATCGATATCGAAGTTTTATGGTGTTTTATTTTCTTCTCGTGAACTGGTTTGGATTGGTTGAATTTGTTTTATCATTTGTAGATAGATGTAGTGCCAGATATTTTATTCCACACAACACTTGCAGAGGTCTGCAAAGGCTTTCCGAAAGAATTATTGTGCACTCTGCTTGACATCCCATGGCTAGGTCTTGTAATTTGTGCTAAATACTCGATGCGACATTAGAATAGTTGTCGGCAGTAGAAACTCATATCATTTGCATACTCCTAAAGCAACGTGCCATAATGTAACTTCATACAAAGATGTTCGACAACAGATATAGCACCGTACCGTTTCTTGTTTGCAATGACTTGTTACACAATTGCTGAGGCAATATCAGGTTTGTTTACTAGTAAGGACGACTCTGTGGACAATAATTAGATCCTCACTGTTTTAATCCTTAGTATTGTTTAGTTTCTGCCTATTTTCAGCGTCAAGCTCGACTAAGTAATATCTTGGCTTTAAGAACAATTCAACAGAATTATAAGATAAACTGATCTAACCTTATGTGATAAATGTTCACTATCATGCACGTATGTATGTGGATTAAGATTGAGCAAAGTGTAATCTTCGAAATTGTATCGTGCTCTGTGCTTTTCAATCTTAAAATGTCACAGTTTTGCATCAGTATATTCATACATTGGGAAACGAAGTGACTAAGCGAGGTCACAAACGTGCATGCAACTCTTACGCACGTGCGTTTCTTTTTCAAAAGCAACAGTCAGAGTTTGTAACATCCACAATACAGTATGTTTTCAGAGGATTCGTATGCCTTAATTGTTATAATAACAGACTGAAAAAGCAAATCTGCAAACCCATGGATAGAAAATTGACAAGAAACGTCGAGGTGACGACTAACAAATCATTATAATGCTTTCAACTAATCAAGAAGAGCTCGCGACAGAACTTATCGAATCTTGAGATTAAGCGTAAGAATTAGGATAGTTTGCAAGCTTACATTTAAGTATCTGCGTCTAGTCACCACGACAATATCGCAAGGTTTTTCAATATCCAATATATTCGAACGAGCTCTTATAAGCTGATTTCTTTTTGCTCACTTCTCTCATTTCGGTGCGGTTTAACGTATAAGGTTACCTTAAATGTGCATAGATTAGATATTCAATTCCACCAATTTTGGTCTATTTGGTATTTATTAGTAGATTTGTATATCTTGTAATTTCAGATTCAGACTTGTGTAGTAAGAACAGATGGCCTACGGCCTATGTTATTCCTCCTCTAGTATGCTTCTGTGAGTGTCCAGTCTTCTCTTGAAAGAGTCAATTAAAGGTGCGGACACCACTGCTTCAGGCAGCAGTTTCCAAGTATTGGTGGCTCGGTGTGAAAACCTGTATGCCACGGGTATTTTGTTCGTTCATGGCTTTTCTACTCGCCTGCTATGTCCTTTGAGGTGTCTTGATCTAGTGGGAAGAAAGAGACGGAATAAGTTAGGTCCGAAATCATTTCTCAGTATTCTGTACATCAAAATTAGATCTCCCCTTATTCTGCGATAGGACAGAGTAAAGAGGTCCAGTTTTTCAAGCCGCTCTTTGTATGTAGAACTCATGTTTAGAACGCACGAACACTTTATACAAAGTCAAAAAAAACTTGCGTCGGCATGACTGAACTCCTCACGTATTGACCATGAAGTTATGAAACCTTTGCCGATTACTGCACGGCAGTGTGCAGTAGTCCTTAAGCCCTGGTTGACGATGACTTCCATGTCATTGTATGTCTGGACAACAGGTAGCTCGATGTTATTCATCATGCATGTATCTGCACGTTGATGACCGATGTGCATCACAGTGCGCTTTCAAATACTTATCGGCGAATGCCAAGTTCGAAACCATTCAGATAATTTCTCCAGGTCATTTTGAAGTTCTAAGCTATCGTCTTCAACTTCTATTGCTCTCTATATATTGTCAGCACATAAGAAAACCGCTGATGATAAGAGACAAGCAAGGTCATTTACATTTAAGAGGAATAACACCGGCCCCTATACTGCATCCTGATGTACCCCGCTAAGCGCAGTTTCCCAGCTAGACAACTTAAAGTTCACTCGTACGCTTTATTGGCGCCTTACTAGGAAGTCTTTTATACACATCAATAGGTTGCATCAACCCCGACATACCCAACCTTATGTAACAGCAGGTTGTGTGCAACGTTGTCAAAAGCTTTGTTGAAATCTATATAGGCTGCGTCTACATGTAACTTTTAGTCCTTCAGAGTGGACAAGCTTTCATGATCCACTATTAAGTTAGTGAGACAGGGATAACCGATCCTTAAACCATGCTGCTTTTCCAAAGAATCTGATTTTCATCGAGATACTTAAACAGCTCTTTCCGAATAATATTTCCCAAGATTTTAATTACCACGCTAGTTAGGCTAACGGGTCAGTAATCCTCAGGTTTATGTCTCGTACCTGTTTTGAAGACAGAACTTACTATGGCGTTCTTCCAGTCTTTTGGTTAACGACCCTTGGTTACGGATAGATTAAAACATATACGACATTAGCTAATGCCTTTAATAACCTAGAATGCAATTCATCGGGCCCAATGGATTTGTCTATGTCCAGCTTATTTAGCAGTCCAATGACATCGAGTTCTTTAATGGTCACCCTGTCCAGTGTTTGTGTGGGGGGATTTGCATGGACTGACGGGAAGGGTGTTTCTATGGTACATACATTGCTAAGTAGTGTGACAGTACTTGACATTTACCACAATTATCCGCTACTAATGATGACGCACTACTGTCTCCACATAGTTTTAACTTATTTCCTCTCCTTTTTGTCCTACGGTTTATATACGAATAAAAGCGTTTAGGCTATTCTATGGATTCCTTGACAGCTTTTTTTCGTACAACCTTCTAGATTTACGGAGGGTCGAGGCACAGGTATTCCGAACTTCTTGATATTGAGATTTCTTCTTATCAGTATCCAGTAACCTGAAACGTCCCCACACTCTACTTCTCTTACGGAGAAAGGTACGAATACCCCTACTGAACCATGGGGGAGAGTTTCTCCGCCCTCTATTGTAGTCCAAGGGATGTGGGGCACTGTTAATTTTAAATATAAAGTCTGAAATGCATCCCAAGCTGTTTCATTCGCGGACTCTAGCATTATTGTCCAATCTACCGATGATGTTGAATGTATAATTTCTTCTATATTTGCTTTCCAGACGTTAGGCCACGATTGGGCTGACGCGTGCTTGTTCCCGACAACTATGTGGAAGTCAAAGCTTAGAAATGCACGATCACTTTTATCTAGGTATAACATGTAATTGATCAACCAATCAGCAGCTCTTGTTCCTCGCATTTCAAGCGGCAAACGAACTTACACGTCCCATTCTCATGGGATACACTGTTAATAATAGCATATGGGATAGTATTCCTAATAAATGAAGCCACTCCCTCTACTCTACGCTTCTGGATTCTATCGGCTCTTACCGACGTAAAGCCTTCAAAATCAAGTTCCATAAATCAATAGGCTGCGTCAGCCAAGTTTCTGTGACCGCGATTATATCTGACTTTGTGGAGTCAATCTGTACACCTAGTTCAGACCACTTACTGAGCAAGCTTCCGACATTACGGTAACAGATCCAAAACTTATTTGAATGGCTTCCTGCTGCGCTCATAGAGGCTTTGGCTTCATTCTCTATCGAAGCTTCAAAACCCGAAAATTTGTAATTTTTAGGTTTTTTGCCAGCATCTAACCTACGTTGTAGATCTTTTCCGCCTTCCCGTCTTTTTACACGGTCTTCCAGCGACAAGCTCCTACGGACAAAAACTCTTGAACCCTTGAATTTATGTCCATTCTGTTAAACCGGAGTGAAGTTAAATAGTGACAAAATTATTCAATGCTTCTCGTAATGATGAAATAAAGACCACGTTTTTTTATCTTTGTTTACGACGCTTTACATGTAATCACATTTGTTTTTTATATCCATTGTTCTTATGTATCATTTTTAAAAAGCAGAGTGATTGTTCGGCCGCACTAATCATCACCCACTATCGCTGGTTTTCAAATAAACTTTATATTCTGCGTCTGCCTTCTCATTTGCTGACCGCTGTTTGAAATTATAACGGTGTTATAACATCACTGTAGGCAATCTTCACTACGTTGTAGTATTATCACGAATTATTTTTGCGTTATACCGTTGGGAAGAATCACTGACATCACTTTGCTTGTGCCAGCATGTGCGAAGGGATCTTCGTTAATCAAGAGAAGGGTGATTGGTCGTTATGTTTGATGGAGTTTACAATTAACAATATCTTCACAAACACTGTCATCATTTTGTTATTTAATACTACATTTTTTTGTGAGAGTGATTTTGATTTGTATTGTTATTTCTCGGTGTATCATTGATACATGTGTGTGCAGTTATATCGTTAAAGAGTTTTCTTATTGAAGTCCACTACAGCAAGAGCGTATTTGATTAAGGGCTGCAAAATTTCTGGATACCAGCATAGAACATGCAACACGGTATTTATTTGGTAAGTCGCAATGTCCAAATAGTAAAGTGATAATTTGAATAGCAACAGAAAAAGGTTGTTTCAGGATAAAATAAACGGATTAATTAGTAATTTGTAAGGAGATGGAAGTCAAGGATGAGATGAAAAACTGATACAATGGTGTATATGTTGGTTGTCTTAATCACATGGCTTTTTATTGCTCCACAGCCCAGTGAGTAATAATGAAGTCTTCAAGCCCAATTTAGTTAGATTTTTGTTTTGTAGAACTTACACTCACCTAGTTCCCTGTAATTACATTTAATCTGAGATCGGGAAATTACTTCTGAGAACATGAGGAGAAATTTCGGGTAACCCACTCCAGAAGACTTTGGCGGAAATTTCGGAGGAATGGCTGCAAAATCTAAACTTTTTCCTCATCTGGAAAAATTACCCGAAATTTCTGGTTTTCCCCAATTGCCAACAACTTTTAGGAAACTCATCTAAGTTCTTCAAACAAATTTCAATTCTTTACCGCTTTTTGGGTGCATTTTGCACGATTTCTGGTCATCGCTAATACCGCATTCGGAAAACCGCTTGATTACCGATTGCACAAAAAAGATTGGAGATTTAGTTATAATTACCCGAAGGTTTCAACCATGCTAGACATATCACTATCAAATGTAACTGACACTTATCTACATCAAGATCCTCAGAAATTCTTACATTAATAATAATAATATATTCTCAAATAACAGTTTGTTACATGTGGCATGCCAGTTTACAGGCAAGATCAAATTGTTACAAATGGTAGAAGTTCCACTGTAGTAAATTACTCATCTGGGTTAGTAATTTATAAGATATAAATGTAGATGGTTTTAGTCAGTATCACAGTTGGCGCGCTTCATGATAGTTGGTAGCTTCTAGAAATTGCAATTTTATATCCCTTTGGAATATCTGAGGCTCTAAGAATGGTGCAGGATGAAGTCACCCATTCCATATCTCAAGGAGGCTAAAAGAGGGAGTAAGTAAAAGAAAGGACGAGAGGCAGAGTAGCCAATATTCACGAAGGAATGTTTAGGGTATGATTATTCAGTCTAATTTCCTTTTATTAAGGTATTTGTCAGGCAAGAGCATTTTAATAGGTTAAAGAAAATAAGTGTGAACAAGGTATGAATGGACATACAACTGACGAATGGAGGCGATTCCGGAAGGAGCTGAGTATGGGATTATGTGTGTTTATAAAATATAGTTCTTAAAAACAGTATTGGGATATACAATTGGCTACCTTCTATTTTTGTCGAAGCTATTGGAGCCCTTTTCATTTTTTTTGCATTATTATTTTTTTTAGATATAATAGGCTCTTGAGTACGCTTCGTATATTAGCGAGTTGCAAATCAGTCACAAGCA